TTTAAATGGATGTCCAGTGTGAAGACTGTTCCTTATATAACTGAAACAGTTTGTGTGCGCAAAGGAACACCCACATACTTAAAACAACAGAGATGTCAACAAACTCCCTAAAAGGAATGGAAAACTGAGATGGGGGAGAAATTAAATAGAGGTTTCTGGATTAAGACCATCCATGCTTCTGAATTTGCTGCAGGACCAACCCAAATGGACTCAAGCTTTGGGTTCAAAGAAACCACTGTTTTGCCTTTTTGAGCAAATCAATTTATCTATCAAAAGTTTCAGAAGCGAATTCCTGCTTTGCAATGTATTTTTTTTTTTTGTATTAAAGGTTTTCAATAGAAGATAACTAAACAAAAACTAATGCAAAGTAAAAGAAGAAAGGAAAGGGGGGGGAAGGAAAAGACCAAAGTATAAAAAGAAACAATGAAGAAAAATAGAAGCTTCCAGCTTTCTTTGCAGCAAATGCAATAGAATTGTGAAGATATCGCTTCCTTTAGAACAGTGGTTCTCAACCTGTGGGTCGGGACCCCATTTGGGGTCGAACAACCATTTCACGGGGGTCGCCAAACAACGCAGTCCGCCATTTTTTTCCCCCTTTTCCTTAGCTGTGCTACTCCCTTTTATTCTATTGGCTTTTGAAAGCCAATAGAATAGACTCTCTTGAATAGAGTCTAATTCTATTGGCTTTCAAAAGCCAATAGGAATTGTCCAGGCTGTCTCTGCCCTGCTGAGCCCGCCAAAAGTCCCATTCTGCAAACGGTGCTGCACCAGTTGAGTAGTCCTCGACTTACGACTGGTTGAGTAATCCTCGACTTACGACTGGTTAGGGGTCGTGGCATTAAAAAGGTTGAGAACCACTGCTTTATAATGACAAAAAAGCTCACTTTTTTCTGTTATCCATTTTTTTCTTCCTAATTGCCAAAACCACAAATGCATTTATTTCTTGTTTCATGTAAAAAGTCTATCAGAGTTTTCCAGTCAAATCATAAAGTTAGCTATTGCCTTTAATCAAATAAGTTAAGTTAGCCATTTTGAACGAGAAAATGAGGGCCAAAACATAATTAAGTACAATGCAGGCAGTCCTTAATGACCGTAATTGAGTCTGGAATTATGGTCGTAAATCAAGCAGATTATTAAGTGGGTCATCGTGAATTTACATTTTTTGCAGCAGTTGTTGAACAGTGTGGTCATTAAGTGAATTCACTGTTCACAAAGGGCATTTTTTGCTGAACCAAAAGTTAACACCGGTTTCCAGCAAAAAGAGTCATAAATCGTGGTTACTTGACTGGGGGATGCTACAAATGGTCATAAATGCTGGCCAGTTGCTGAGGGCCCAAAATGGGATCATGTGACCGTGGGGGGAAGCTATCAGAATTTCTGATCTGGGTCATAAGTATGTTTTCTCGGTCTGTCGTAACTTAGAACGGTTGCTAAATGACTGGTCGTAACTTGAGGACTACCTGTACAGTAGGGCCTTGTGGATGCATGGATTGTTTTGTTTCCCAACTTTGATGAGAATTAAAAAACTTTTCTTTAGCCTGTGCTTTGATTTCCAGGTTTCCTGATTGTTTCCTGAGATTTCAGAATTCTTACAGGTTATATTAGTCAAATGTGGCAGCTTTAAGAGGGGTGGACTTCAACACCCAGAATTCTCAGATGTGGCAGCTTTATGAGGTGGACTTCAACTCCCAGAATTCTCAGATGTGGCAGCTTTATGAGGGGTGGATTTCAACACCCAGAATTCTCAGATGTGGCAGCTTTATGAGGGGTGGACTTCAACTCCCAGAATTCTCAGATGTGGCAGCTTTATGAGGGGTGGACTTCAACTCCCAGAATTCTCAGATGTGGCAGCTTTATGAGGGGTGGACTTCAGCTCTCAGAATTATCAAATGTGGCAGCTTTAAGAGGGGTGGACTTCAACTCCCAGAATTCTCAGATGTGGCAGCTTTATGAGGGGTGGACTTCAACTCCCAGAATTCTCAGATGTGGCAGCTTTAACAGGGTGGACTTCAACTCCCAGAATTCTCAGATGTGGCAGCTTTAACAGGGTGGACCTCAACTCCCAGAATTCCGCAGCAAGTAGGGCTGGGTGAGGAATTCTGGGAGTTGAAGTCCACAGGTCTTAAAGTGCCAAATTCAAGATACACTGAGCAGCAGGCTGAAAACCGGAGATCCTGAATTCTAATTCTGACTTAGTGATAAAGTCATCTTGGGGATTTTAGGCCGGTCCCTCTCTGTCCTCCCCAAGGAGAAGAATACAAGGGCAAAACCGCTTCCGAAATTTCATAGCAAGAAAACAATATGGATTTGTCCCTGTAGTTATTTGGATGGAAGATGCATCACACACAAACACAAAACATGTTTTCAGTCAAAAGAGCCTAGGAAGCAGACTATAATATATTGTATAGGAAAATGTATCATTAATCTACATTTTTTCGAGAACCTGCTTGGTGCGGTAGTTAAAGGCCCCAGGCTAGAGACCAGAAGGACATGAGTTCAAATTCTGCCTTAGGCACTAAGCCAGCTGGGTGACCTTGAGCCAGTTACTCACTAACTTGGCCCTGGGAAAAAGGCATTAAAGGAAAACAACATTCAAAAAATGATGCCAAGAGAACTTCTGGGACTTGTCCAAGCTATTCGCCAAATATGAAGATTTATTTATTGTGTGACCTACTTCTGCTTTCTGGGAACACAATTTTCCCACAAAAGTTTCCCTGGCCAAACTTTGTTAGTTTTCAGGAAAAGGGTATTTTTGTTGCACGTGTGCTGCCTTGAGCTGTTGTACCATTACAGGAAGTCCTCAACTTAGGGCTGCATTTCTGTCGCTAAGCAAGACAGCTCTTAAGAGAGCTGCACCCCATTTTACGACCCTTTTTTGCCATAATTGCTGCAGTTGTTAAGTGAGTCATGCAGTTGTAAAACAAATCTAGCATGACTCTGCTTGTCGGAAACCAGGTGGGAAGGTCACAAAAGGGGATCAGACGACCCCGTCATAAATATGAAGTGTCTGGATTGTGATCACGTAACCGTGGGGGGGGGGATGCTGCAATGGATCGTAAGTGTGAAAAACAGTCATAAATCCCTTTTTTCAATGCCATTGTAACTTTGAACGGACACTAATTGAATTGCTGTAAGTCAAGGACTAATGATAGAGTCTTCTCTATTTAGACCACCAGCCACAAGACCAGAAGTATAATGGTGAAAAAAAAGAGGGATTTTTGCAGAATGGAAGCAAAAAAAGGCGAAAGATTTATACGATCTCAAGGGAAACTGCAGCATTCTCTGGCCTAAAGGACATAATCAAGGTTTTGATGTGATGGAGAGGGGGAAAAAAATTGGAAAAAAGTGCACATGGTCGACAATCTGAAGGGTTACGTTATGGAAAAGATCTTCTCATTCGTCCTACAGTTATTGGCACATTAGGGAGAGAAAATTAAATTGTTTTTCCTTAAAGTATTTCGATGTGGATTTACCAAATATATATATATATATATATAAATATATATTTGCTGAGCACGTATTATATTTGATGACATTGCTTGGATAATTCTAGGTTGCTCTCTGGAATTTGACTTTCCCCAAAAACTTCGGTGGAAGATATGATCATTTTGGTTTGTTCTATTCTTTCAGGATTAAAAGCATCGTAAGTTCTGGTGGAAAGGAATATGAAATGCATTTGTTTGTGTATTATTGATATCCCGGCTTTATTTTTTTTTACAATAACCCAAAGTGGTGAACATATCCAACACATCTTCCTCCTCTATCTTCCCAAACAACAACCCTGTGAGGTGGGTTGGCCTGAGAGAGTGTCACTGGTCCAAAGTCACCCACCTAGCTTTTATGCCTAGGTCACCCAGCCAGCTTTCATGTCTAAGGCAGGATTAGAACTCACCATCTGCTGGTGATTGGCCCAAAATCACCCAGTGAGCTTTCATACTTCAGGCAGAACTAGAATTTACCATCTCCTGGTGATTGGTCACAAAATCACCCTTCTCAGGAATGAAGTGGAGTGGAGCAGAGCAGAGTAGAATAACAAAGTTTGAAGGGACCTTGGAGGTCTTCTAGTCCAACCCCCTGCTCAGGCAGGAGAACCTATAGGGCAGTGGTGGCAAACCTATGGCACGCGTGCCAGAGGTGGCACTCAGAACCCTCTCTGTGGGCACGTGCGCCATGCCCTGGAGATGGCAACCGTCCCTCTTCAACCAGCCGCCCGCTAACTCGCTGAGGTCCATGTGGCTGGATGCATCCCAGCACCCATGCGGTCGCTGGCCTCTGTTTGCAGGGGCTGATGGTGTCAGGCAGCACCCACCCCAGCCCCTGCCTTGCCTTGCCCTGCGACAATGGTTCCCCTGCCCTGCCTCGCCTCGCCTTGCCTCACCCCACAGGACGAGCCTCCTGCCCACTGCCCCATATTTATATTAAGTTGAGGATTACCTATACAGACCTGTGTGCAGGAACATGTTTTTTTTTTCCTTTGCAAGAATATATTTAGCAGGCTCAGTTCAATAGAAGTGATCCTTTCCCTCCGAAACCAAGAGATTATACTACTTTTAATGGGTTGCTTTGCTGATGGAAAGGTTAAGCCAGGGGTCTTCAGACTTGGCCCCTTTATGACTGGTGGACTTCAACTCCCAGAATTCCTCAGTCGGCCATTTTGATGAAATTGCGGGCTTGGATCCAAACCAGGGGTCTTGGCCCTTTTATGACTTGTGGACTTCAACTCCCAGAATCCTTCAGCCAGGCACAGCTAGCTGAGGAATTCTGGGAGTTGGTCCACAAGTCATAAAAGGGCCAAGTTTGAAGACCCCTGGGTTAAGCCCTGCCAGAACGCGTGAAAGACAATTTCTTTGGTGCATAAACAACCTGTGTGCAGGTAGCAAAAAACAGCAGGGCCTCCAGCTGTTGCTGACCATAAATTGATTTATACGGAGCACCTGGGCTGGGATGGATGCAAGTTGGCAAGGAGCCCTATTGAATGTTGTTTCTGTTTTGCCTTCCAGCCTCCCTTCCTTTCGCCATCCTGACCTTGGTGAACTCTCCCTACAAACGGGGTTTCTACTGTGAGGACACTTCCATAAGTTATCCGTACAAGCCGGACACCATTACACATGGGGTGATGGCTGGAGTGACCATTCCCTGCACCGTTTTCATAGTAAGACCGATGTCTCTTTGCTCAACCGATTGATGGGTCAATTTTGAGGAGGTCCTAAGACAGCTGGGAATGCAAGATTTTGTGGCTGTAGGGGTAGTTCTTGGTTTACAGCCATTTGTTTAGCAACTGTGCAACGTTACAACGGTACTGAAAAAAAAGTCCTCATGACCAGTCTTCACAACTTTACAACTGTTGCAGCATCCCTGTGATCACCAGAGCGGAATTTGGTTGCTTGGAAACGGGCATGTTTACCGCTGTGGTGGCATCCCCCGGGTCAGGGATAGGCAACCTTGGCCCTTTTATGACTCGTGGACTTCAACTCCCAGAATTCCTGAGCCAGCCATGCTGAGGGGAAAGGGAGAGGTTTCCAAGCTGAGCCATGCTGACTCAGGAATTCTGGGAGTTGAAGTCCACAAGTCATAAAGCGGCCTAGGCCTAGGCCAGAGGTAGGCAACCTGGGCTCTTTTATGACTCGTGAACTTCAACTCCCAGAATTCCTGAGCCAGCCATGCTGAGGGGAAAGGGAGAGTTTCCAAGCTGAGCCTTGCTGACTCAGGAATTCTGGGAGTTGAAGTTCACCAGTCATAAAAGAGCCAAGGTTGCCTACCCCTGCCCTGGGTCATGTGATCGCCATTTGTGACCTTACCAGCTGGCATCTGCCAAGCAAAGTCAGTATGGGGAAGCTGGATTCATGTAATGACCATGTGATTCACTTAACAGGCGCAATGATTTTTTTTTAGATTAGATTAGATAACCTTTATTGTCATTTTTTTTTTACTGTGGGCACAATGGTACACATTAAAAATGAAATTTAGTTGCTTGCTCTGAAAGTGTACACACACATAACACACATTTAAACATACTACATACAACATGTGGAGACCTACACCCTTTCATATAAGTAACATATAAATATTAATTATGTGTCCATCTATGGAAGGAGGAAGCTTGAGAGTTCACAAGGTTAATACTGTATGGCACAAAACTGTGACCTGATTTGCTTAGCAACTTTGGTGAAAAGGTCATAAAAATGGAGTGCAACTCAGTTAACAACCTTAACTTAGCAACAGAGATCCTTGTCACAGTTATGGTCATAAGTCAAGGACTATGTGTATTCCCCAACTCTGAAATACGCAGGCTCTCTTTTGGAAAAATTAATATTTTCCATTTTTGTACCTCTATAACTGTGTAGTTGGAACAGCAACCAAACAAGACAGGCAAAGACTTCACCGGATAGTTAGGACCGCAGAAAAAACAATCGCAACCAGCCTGCCTTCCACTGAGGACCTGTACAGCCATTTGTCTGAAACGGTATAGGGTTTCCTGCCCGAGCAGAGGGTTGGACTAGATGACCTCCAAGGTCCCTTCCAACTTTACTACTATTATTATTATTATTATTAAAATATCTACAGACCCCTCACATCCTGGACATAAACTGTTTGAGGGTTTTTTTATAAATATTTTATTAATTTTCTAATTTTACAGTCAAATACTTAATAGAGAACGTGTTGTCTCGGTCCATTAGTAATTCAGTGGTCTATATCAGTAATGCAAATGTATGGCACGCGTGCCAGAGACGGCACTCAGAGCCCTCTCTGTGGGCACGCATGCCATGCCCTGGAGATGGCAACCATCCCTTTACAACCAGCCGCCCGCCAACTCGCCGAGGTCCCACATGGTTGGATGCATCCCAGCACCCATGCGCTCGCTGGCCTCTGTGTGCAGGGGCTGATGGTATCAGGCAGCAGCTGCCCCGGCCCCTGCCTCATCTTGCCCTGTGACAATGGCACCCCCACTCTGCCTTGCCTCACCTCGCAGGACGAGCCTCCTGCCCACCGCCCCACCTGCCAGAGATCCCCCGGATCTCCCCCAACCCTGCCCGGCCCCCACAGGCGTCCCTCCCCACGAGCAACATTAAGGTGACCATGCTCACCTTGGCCATACCCACCCAGTCTGCCATGACCACCACAGCCACACCCACCCAGTGGGCCACATCCACCTGGCACCCAGCGATAAATAAGTGGGTTTTGGGTTGCAGTTTGGGCACTTGGTCTCTAAAAGGTTCACCATCACTGGTCTATATGCACTTCTTCACTCTAGATCCAATATTGCACTCTCAAATATTTCCTCCTTTTTTTCCAGTAGTATCTGTTTTTCCACACTAAGGAAATACAATCCTTATTGTTATTAATAAATAAACAATTGAATATCAACATCTTTGTTACATTTTTCTTATGATATCAGTAATGTTAGTTTTAGATAACTTTTCTAACCAAAACATATCTTAATTGCATATGTTCAATCAGTATCCTGTTTTCACTTTTTAACAAAAAAATTAATTTCCTCTCAGTATTCAAAATGTCTCTATTGTTTATAATTCCAAAGTAAGTTATATTTGGGTAACCAAAGGCTTTCCTTATTCAAACTCTTGGCATTTTCCTGTTTTCCTTCTCATATCAAAATCTAATATTCTAATTACAAATCTTATCTTTCTAGTTATGATAGTGCTTATATTTCTAGCAATTATCTATTCTCCACCATATTCAAACATCTAGTTCAGGGGTCTTCAAACTTGACCCTTTTATGACTTGTGGACTTCAACTCCCAGAATTCCTCAGCCAGAATTCAACTCCCAGAATTCCTCATAATCATAAGTATTAATAATTAGTATATCAGGAAGGCTTACTGACTACTGAAGAGACCAAACTGGCCTACAAGAAAGACCAAATGAAGAACAGAATAGAGGCATGGGAAGGCAAAGCACTATATGGCCAGTTCATTAAAAAAAAATAGCTGGGAAAGCAGATAATAACAAGACCTGGCAATGGCTAAGAGCAGGAAAATTGAAGAAAGAGACCGAGGGACTAATTCTGGCTGCACAAGACCAAGCCTTAAGGACAAATGCATACAAAGTCAAAATTGAGAAGACAGCAACAGACATTAAGTGCCGCCTATGCAAAGAAGCTGAAGAAACAGTGGACCACCTGGTAAGCTGTTGCAAGAAGATGGCACAGACTGACTACAAGCAGCGGCATGACAAAGTAGCAACAATGGCGCATTGGAAGATCTGCAAAAAATATCATTTGCCTGTAAGCAAAAACTGGTGGGATCATAAAATAGAGAAAGTCATAGAAAATGATAAAATTAAACTGGTCTGGGACTTCAGAATTCAAACAGACAAGCACCTGCAACATAACACCCCAGACTTAACAATTGTCGATAAGAAAGACAAAAAAGTCTGGATAGTGGATGTGGCAGTGCCTGGAGATAGCAGAATAGAAGAGAAAGAACTGGAGAAGATAACAAAATACAAAGACCTACAAATAGAAATAGAAAGACTGTGGCAAAAGCAAGCAAGGGTAGTACCAATAGTCATAGGCTCCTTGGGTGCAATCCCAAAACATCTGGAGCACCACTTGAACCCCATTGGCATTGACAAATTCGCCATTAGTCAATTGCAAAAGGCGGCCTTACTAGGAACTGCTTCCATCTTGCGACAATATCTGTAACACCATCAAACATCCACATCTGCCTATCCCAGGTCCTGGGTAAGGACTCGATAGGTAGACAAAAATGCCAAATCCGGTCTGAACATCTGGCTGACTGTGCGATGATCAATAATAATGATGATGATGATGGAAGGGACCTTGGAGGTCATCTAGTCCAACCCCCTCCTCAGGCAGGAAACCCTATACCATTTCAGACAAATGGCTGTCCAGTCTCTTCTTAAAATCCTCCAGTGTTGGAGCATTCACCGCTTCTGGAGGCAGGTTGTTCCACTGGTTAATTGTTCTCACTGTTAGGAAGTTTCTCCTTAGTTCCAGGTTGCTTCTCTCTTTGGTTCCACCCACCAGCTTGTCTTTGGGGTGGAAATTGAGAAGGGAGGGCGTGAAGGATGTCCCTGAAGAGCATCACCTTTCTTTCTTTTTCCCCCCCTCCCCTCTACCTGCTAGATTTCAGTCGGCGAGGCTTACCTGGTCTACACCAAACGCTTGCACTCGCGTTCCCAGTTTAACAATTACCTGGCTGCCCTCTACAAAGTTATAGGGACGTTCCTGTTTGGCAGCGCTGTCAGCCAATCGCTGACTGACTTGGCCAAGTACATGATTGGGCGTCTGAGGCCGAATTTCCTGGCGGTCTGTGAGCCAGACTGGACGAAAGTGAATTGCTCGGTTTACATCCAGGTGGAGGACGTGTGCCAGGGCAATGCCAGAAACATCACAGAATCCAGGTGAGTTCAACACCGTTTAGAGATCACTGTGGCAACTGAATGGTCGCTAAGTGAGGCAGCCACTAAAGGAGGACTATCTGTATCCATAATTCACTATTAACCTCTTCTTCTGGATTGTTTTGAGTCAATGGGGACAGCCAGTGACTGCCTGAACAAGTCCCTGCAGTTTTATTGGCAAGTAGTTTGCCATTGCTTCCTTCTTAGGGTTGAGAGAGAGGGGCTGGCCCAAGGTCACCCAGTTGGCTTTGTGCCTAAGGCAGAACTTGAACTCAGAGTCCCCAGTTTTTAGCCTGCTGCCTTAATCCCTGCACCAAACTGCCCCCTTAATTATAAAATTTACTCCCTCAGTGGCTGCACACAATATTGTTTTTGTCCAAACTGGTCATTGATGTGATGAAGTTGTCCTCGACTTACAGCAGTTCATTTAGTGACTGTTCGAAGTTACAACGGCACTGAAAAAAGCGACTTTTGACCGTTTTCCACACTTATGACCGTTGCAGCCTCCCCAGGGTCATGGGATCAAGATTCAGACGCTTGGCAACCGACTCGTATTTACGACGGTTGCAGTGTCTCCGAGGGGTCATGTGATCCCCTTTTGCGACCTTCTGACAGGCAAAATCATTGCGGAAGCCAGATTCACTTAAGCCATGTTGCTAACTTAATAACGGCAGAGATTCACTTAACAACCGTGGCAAGAAAGGTGGTAAAACGGGGCAAAATTCACTTAACAAATGTTTCGCTTAGCAAACAGAAATTTTTGGGCTTAATCGTGGTCGTAAGTCAAGGACTACCGGTATTGTTTTTGCAAATGCCATAAACATTGCGGCAGAAATTTGATCAGTGGAAACTAACCAAGGAGAGAAGCAACCTAGAACTAAGGAGAAACTTCCTGACAGTGAGAACAATGAACCAGTGGAACTACCTGCCTCCAGGTAATGAATGCTCCCACACTGGAAGTTTTTCAGAAGAGACTGGACAGCCATTTGTCCGAAATGATGTAGGGTTTCCTGCCTGAGCAGGGGGTTGGACTAGATGACCTCCAAGGTCCCCTCCAACTTTATTAGTATTAGTATTAGTATGCAAAGCTACCAGCGAAAAAGAGATTTCAAGTTATCACATCACCCAAGAAGGAAAAATACAGACAAACTCTTATTTCAGGAATAGATGAACGTGAATTTGAATGAATTTCCTGGCTACTCTAAAATCAATACAGTTATAAATATATGATGGTAACCGTTAACAGGAAACAGTCAAAAAGTAATTAATAATGATTCATAATAGTTAATGAATAGCTAAAGGAGGATTCAATACAGGAACCCCCCCAACTTCCAATCTCAGTTGGGAACAGAACTTGAGTGAGGCAGTTGTTAAGGGAACTGTGCCTAATTTTATGACCTTTTTTGCCACTGTTAAGCAAATCATCGTGGTCATTAAACGAATCACGCGCTTGTTAAACGAACCCAGCTTCTCCCCTGGACTTGACTTTATTGGAAGTTGCCTGGGGAAACCGCCACTCATGATCATGTGACCATGGGACGCAGTCACCAATGTCAGGTGGCCGAGATCCCAAATTTTGATCACATGACGGCAGCGGCTGTAAGTGTGAAGACTGATCGTAAGTCACTGTTTTCCAGCGGTGACCTAACGGTCCTAAATCGAGGACTGCGTGTAAAATGATTGGTGCTACCTGCTTTGTACGCAAGATTGCGTTCTCCACCCCAAGAGGCGGGAGGAGAGGCAGGAACCCAGATCATAATTTCAAAGTTCAATAATAATAATAATAATAATAATAATAATAATAATAAAGTTGGAAGGGACCTTGGAGGTCATCTAGTCCAACCCCCTGCTCAGGCCGGAAACCCTATACCATTTTGGACAAATGGCTGTCCAGTCTCTTCTTAAAAACTTCCAGTGTTGGAGCCGAGGTGGCGCAGCAGTTAGAGTGCAGTACTGCAGGCCACTTTAGCTGACTGTGTTCAGCAGGTCAGCGGTTCAAATCTCATCGGCTCAAGGTTGACTCAGCCTTCCATCCTTTCGGGGTAGGTAAAATGAGGACCCAGATTGTTGGGGGCAATGTAAAATATATATATATACATTGCTTACTGGTGTACACCGCTTAGAGAGTGCTTGCACTTAAAGCGGTATATAAGTCTCATAAATAAATAAATAAATAAATAAATAAATAAATTCACTGCTTCTGGAGGCAGGTTGTTCCACTGATTAATTGTTCTAACAGTCAGGAAGTTTTTCCTTAGTTCTAGGTTGCTTCTCTCCTTGATTAGTTTCCATCCATTGTTAGTCAAGGACTAGTCAAGTCCGTCGTAAGTCAAGGACTCCTTATAACATAGTTGTCCAGTAGCTCCTTTTAAAAAAACCCAAAAGCTGAAGCCATGTTGGATCTGAAAGGGGAACAACTTTTCCACCATGAGTTCTCCTGGGAGAAAGTATTAGCCAACCATCCATATATATCTATATCTATATATCTATGTCTATATATCTATATCTATATCTATGTAGGTCTTTGGTTATTCGGGTTTTCTATCACGTAAAGTTGGAGGTGTCTTGGCAACACCTCCAATTAGATATAGATATAGATATCTATACCTATCTATCTATCTATCTATACAGGTGAGTCCTCAATATACAAACAGTTCATTTGGTGACTGTTCCAAGTGACAACGGCACTGAAAAAATTAACTTAAGACCGTTTTTTCACACCTAACGACCGTTGCGACCTCCCCGGGGTCAAGTGATCAAAATTTGGAGGCTTGGCACCTGGCATGTACCTATGACAGTTGCAATGTCTCGGGGGTCATGTAATCCCCTTTTGCGACGGCCTTCCGACAAGCAAAGTTGACGGAGAAGCCAGATCCGCTTAACGACCGTCTTCGCAACCTAACAATTGCAGCGATTCACTTAACAACCGCGGCAAGGAAGGTCGTAAAATGGGGCAAAATTTGACTTAACAAATATATATATTTCTTTTTTTTTTTTTTTTTTTTCTCTTTCTAGATTGTCATTCTATTCCGGACACTCTTCCTTTGGGATGTACTGCATGATGTTTTTAGCGGTGAGTGAGGAAGTGAATCGCGGGGTTCAAAGAATTATCTGGAAGGGAGGAGGGGTCAATACTGGATGGATGCCATTAGAAGCAGGTTTGTTTCCATTTCAAAGGACCAGGGAGGAAGTGATTGTAAGCAATGGTTCTCGACCTTAGCCACTTGAAGACGGGTGGACTTCAACTCCCAGAATTCCCCAGCCAGCCATGGCTGGCTGGAGAATTCTGGGAGTTGAAGTCCACCCGTCTTCAAGTGGCCAAGCTTGAGAAACATCGGATGTGAGAGCTCTAACATGATTTTGCAGGGTGCAGCCAGCATTCCCACAAATCAGGAAAGCCATCCGGATTGAGTTCTAAAGCTCCCGGTTCTTTTAAAATAAAAATAAATATCAGGTAGCCTATTTTCTGCTTTCCGCCTACCTCAAGACTTTAGCTACCTAAATTCTGAATTGCCAATCCTGCTCAGGACATCTGATCGGCTTTCGTAGCCCAGGGTTAGGTAACCTTGGCTCTTTTATGACTCGTGGAGTTCAATTCCCAGAATTCCTGAGCCAGCCATCCTGAGGGGACAGGGAGAGGTTTCCAAGCTGAGCCATGCTGGCTCAGGAATTCTGGGAGTTGAAGTCCACGCGTCATAAAAGAGCCAAGGTTGCCTACCCCTGTCGTAGTCAGTTAAAAAGGTACTGAGAGAGGTGCCAATCGTGGCTGGGTTCCCACAACCCACTGAACCAGGATTAGCTAAATTGGGACCCCTCAGTGGCTGCCTCGGTGACTGGAGGTGGGGGGGCGCTATAGTTTGATGAGCTTCCAAATTGAGGGGAGGTTGGGGCAGAAATGTTGCATGGTTATTTATTGGTGCGCTCTGTTTATTTGCATCCTTTATTTATTTGCTAGCTTTATTTGTTCCATTTATTTATTTATTTATTTCTATTTTTTATTGATTGGCCTCATTTATTTATTTTGCATTCATTTGCATGCTTTCTTTATTTGCTAACTTAATTTTATTTGCTCCCTTTATTTATGTGGCTGCTGCCTTTAGTTATTTGCTACCTTTTATACATTTGTGTGTTTTATACTTATTACTTTATTTGCACACTGGCATTACTTGCTACCTTTTATTTGCTCCCTTTGTTTGTTTGTTTGCTTGCTTGCTTGCACACTTCCTTTATTTACTAATGTTTGTACTATATTTTTCCTTCTTTTGTTTATTTTTGGAGGCTCCCTGTATTTAGTTTCACGCTTTATTTATTTGCTCCCCTTATTATTTATTTGCATACTTCCTTTTGTTTATTTACCATTTGTGTACTTTGTTTATTTGCTTCCTTTTTCCCTCCCTCCTTCCTTTCTCCCTCTCTCCATCCCTCTCTCCTTCCTTCTTCTGTCTCTCCTTCCTTCCTCCCTCCCTCCTTCCTCCCTCCTTCCTTTCTCCCTCTCTCCGTCTCTTCCTCCCTCCCTTCCTTCATTTTTTCTTTCCTTCCTTCCTTCCTTCCTTCCTTCCTCCCTTCCATTTCTTTCTTTTTCTCTCTCTTTCTTTCTTTCCTTCCTTCTTTCTTTCCTTCCTTTCTCTCTCCCTCCCATTTCCTTCCTTCCTCCCTCCATTCCTCCCTCTCTCCTTCCCATTTCCTTCGTCCTTCTCATTTCTTTCCTCCCCTTCCTCTTCCTCTTCCCCTCCCCCTTTCCCTCCCCCTTTCCCTTCCCCTTTCCCTTTCCCTTTCCCCTTCCCTTCCCTTATATGCTCCCTTATTCCCGGTGACCTCGTTGGGCAAACCCAGCCATGGGGCTCATTTAGGATTCCAAGCGTGGGTGGAATTCAATTTGGGCATCAGGTTCAGCCGTAGGGCACAGAGAAAGACCTTCTCTTCCAAAGCCATTGTCCTCTGGCGGCCATTTCTCAAGCCCCCTCCTTTCTCTTGGATTCTAGCTTTACGTCCAGGCCCGCCTGGTTGGCCGATGGGCTCGGCTGCTGCGCCCGACTATCCAGTTCTTTCTCCTCTGCTTCGCCATCTACGTGGGCTACAGCCGGGTGTCAGACTACAAGCACCATTGGAGCGACGTGCTGGTTGGCCTCCTACAGGGGGCGCTCATTGCTATCCTTACGGTAAGCGATGGACCGATTGGCCCAAAGTCACCTGGCTGGCTTTCATGCCTAAGGCGGGACTAGAACTCGCCATCTCCTGGTGATTGGCCCAAAGTCACCCAGCCAATTTTCATGCCTAAGACAAGACTAGAACTCGCCGTGTCTGGTGATTGGTTCAAAGTCACCCAAGGCAGGTTTCATACCTAAGTCTGGACTAGAATTCCCATCTCCTGGTGAATGGTCCAAAGTCACCCAGCCAACTTTCATGCCTAATGCAGGACTACAACTCACTGATTGGCTCAAAGTCACCCAAGGCAGCTTTCATACCTAAGGCTGGACTAGAACTCCCATCTCCTGGTGATTGGCCCAAAGTCACCCAGCCTGCTTTCATAGCTGAGCAGAACTAGAACTCACTGTTTCCTGGTATTTGACTCAAAGGTCACCCAGCCAGTTTTTATGGCTACAGCAGAACTAGAACTCAGTGTTCCTCATGATTGGTCCGAAGTCACGCAACTGGCTTTCATGCCTAAGGCAGGACTAGAACTCCCAACCTTTTGGTGGCTGGCCCAAAGTCACTCAGCTGGCATTCAAGCCTAAGTTCTACTTCTAAGAACTAGAACTCACCGTCTCCTGGTGTTTGATCCAAAAGTCACCCAGCTGGCTTTTATGGCTACAGCAGAACTAGAACTCGATGTTCCTGGTGATTGGCCCAAAGTCACCTAGCCTGCTTTCATAGCTGAGCAGAACTAGAACTCACTAGTGAGTTGGCTCAAAGTCACCCCAGACAGCTTTTTTATGCCTGAGGCGGAACTAGAACTCACATTCTAAGAACTAAGGAGAAACTTCCTGACAGTGAGAACAATTAATCAGTGGAACAACCTGCCTCCAGAAGTGGTGAATGCTCCAACACTGGAAGTTTTTAAGAAGAGACTGGACAGCCATTTGTCCGAAATGGTGTAGGGTTTCCTGCCCGAGAAGGGGGTTGGACTAGATGACCTCCAAGGTCCCTTCCAACTTTACTACTATTATTATTATTCTCCCAGTTTCTAGCCTGGTGCTTTCACCACTAAATCAAACTGGCTGTCTTTGGCCTCTTCTCATCGGAGCTCCCTTTTTCACAGGTCCGCTACATCTCCGACTTCTTCAAGGAGAGGCCCCAGGCACCGTGTGTGGAAAAGGATCTCGGACGTAAACCCAGCATCCCCCTGCCTCTGAGCGAGTCGGAGTGTAATCACTGCAACTATCGGGTTCCTGTGTGAACGGGGTGACTTCGAATTGGTTTGATTTCAGCAGCGAACACCACGTATCTGCCTATTATCCGATATCTCTGCCTCTCTGATACATTTCTACTTTCCCTTTGGACTTGTCCAACGAAGAGGCAAAACCAGGACATTTTTTTTCTTCTTTTTTCGTTCGTTTTTAAACCCTTTTTTTTACTATTATTATTATTATTATGCCTGATGCTACTGCACCACACCACACCACACGTTTGACACTTGCAAAATGCCTGCCTCACCGCCACCTACGCCCAAAGGCCAAACCAGAATCTGAAAAATTTCAAACTTTTGTCTCTGGTTTAAAAGACTTCCGGACAAGCCCTTTCCATGTGGGGTAAAATAAGACACAGGTTTATATATATTCAGCTTGATGGGCCAGCTTTTTATTGGGACTTCAGCTCTTCGTGCCTGGCTTTGCAAAAGTGTGCCACAGCTTGCTTTGCAAAAGTTAGTGGGTTATCTGATCATCTCTCCCCAAAACCGTGGAAGGATTCCTGAACACTGTCGAGTCAAGACCCCAAAATTGCTACAGTGTTTTTAACACTTTTCTGGGGGGGGGGTTCTCCATTTTCCTTGTATTTGGGTACTCTTTTTAGGCGCCTGATGGAGGATCTGAAGGGAGTTTGTGTTTGAATGTGGACGTAGTGTGTGAAATATTTGTTCTGGGGTATAGTAACAAAAATGGACTGTAAATATGAAAGGTTAGAGCAGGGGTTTCCTATTTTGGCAACTTTTAACACTTGTGGATTTCAACTCCCAGAATTCTGGGAGTTGACGTCCACAGGTCTTAAAGTTGTCGAGCTTGGATATTCCAGATTTGCTCCATAAAAAGCAAATTGTCACCTGGATAATATCTTACAATTTAGTTTAGGTTGAGAGAAGGACCAATATTGGGCATCAGTGAGGTTTATTAAACTGCTAAATTGGGGGTGGGGATGGGAGGGGCGTCCCATATCTCCGATACCAACTTTTTGTACCGGTCAGTTTTTGTTTTCCAGTGGATAAAACTGAGCAAGATTGAATAAAATTGAAATGGATTTTTTAAGTCACTGCCAACATCTTTTTATTGTTCTCACTGCTCACAATCATATCTTTCCTAAAGCTTTGAAGATTGAAATTTCAGTGGTAGGGATGGGAAAAGCTGCAGATTACGAGCTTTTCGTGCTGCCGCAAGAGAGAAGAATCATCGCTTAAGCCAGTGGTGGCGAACCTATGGCACGGGTGCCAGAGGCGGCACTCAGAGCCCTCTTTGTGGGCACGCGCACCGTCGCCCCAGTCCTAGGCCTTCAGCTGGGTTTTATAAAACCTTTTCGCTTTAGGCCAGCGGTTCTCAACCTGTGGGTCGGGACCCCATTTGGGGTCGAACGACCATTTCACGGGGGTCGCCAAACAACGCAGTCCGCCATTTCCCCCTCCCCCTTTTCCTTAGCTATGCTACTCCCTTTTATTCTATTGGCTTTTGAAAGCCAATAGAATAACTCTCTTGAATAGAGTCTAATTCTATTGGCTTTCAAAAGCCAATAGGAATTGTCCAGGCTGTCTCTGCCCTGCTGAGCCCGCCAAAAGTCCCATTCTGCAAACGGTGCTGCACCAGTTGAGTAGTCCTCGACTTACGACCGGTTGAGTAGTCCTCGACTTACGGCCGGTTGAAGGTCGCGGCATTAAAAAGGTTGAGAACCATTGCTTTAGGCCTCCACCACCGTGTGCAAAAAAAAAAAAGGTTCAATCAGTCAATTTCAACTTCTCGCGGGGAAAAAAAAAGATCTTGCAAAGTTGGAATTGATTGATTGAATTTTTTAGTCCCACCCAGACTGCTGTTACCATCGCAGCCACGCCCACCCAATGGGCCACACCCACCCAATACCCAATGATGCATAAGTGGGTTTTGGGTTGCAGTTTGGGCACTCGGTCTCTAAAAGGTTCGCCATCACTGGCTTAAGCGATTTAAAAAGCGGGCATTTCTGATGGGAGATTTGAGGCTTGAATGCGTGTCCTGCACGCGGTGGAGGAACGTGGGCAAAAGAAATAAAGGTTTGACCCTTTCCAGGTTTTGCTGAAGCAACTCTCCTCCGGTGGGTCATTACGAATTCAGGAAGAGCCGTACAAATTTCAAACTATTTGCTGAACACCCTGACTGTTCAGAAGAAGAAGAAAAATCTAATAAAAAAACAGGCAGGAAAAAAGAAAATCAGATAAAGCCAATAGCAATTCAAGGGGAATTGCCCTCATCTAGAGAAAGGACGTTATGAAACAGGTGAAAGAGGTCAAGTCCCTGCAGACTTGACTCCATTTGTCATTGCCAATTATGGGGGAATGGGGTTCCAATATCTCAGGGGCTGCCCCAAAGAAGAGGGAGTCAAGCTATTTTCCAAGGCACCTGAAGGCAGGACAAGAAGCAACGGATGGAAACGAATCAAGGAGAGAAGCAACCTGGAACTAAGAAGAAATTTCCTGACAGCGAGAACAATTAACCAGTGGAACAGCCTGCCTCCAGAAGCAGTGAATGCGCCAACACTGGAAGTTTTTAAGAAGAAACTGGACAGCCATTTCTCCGAAATGGTATAGGGTTTCCTGCCTGAGCAGGGGGTTGGACTAGATGACCTCCAAGGTCCTTCCAACTTTATCATTATTATTATTATTATCATCTCTGTTTCAAGGCCAGCGCTGTCCAAAGACATTTTCGCCGTCATGCGGTCAGCCTGATGTCACGGAGCCTTGTTGCCTTCCCGACGAAGTGGTATCTATTTATTTACTTGTGTTTGCATGCTTTCGAATGGCTAGATTGGCAGGAGCTGAGCTGAGGACGGAAGCTCACCCCATCTTGTGGCACTTGGGTCTTGAACCAGAGTTGCTGGCTTTCCAGCCGACATGTCCAGAGACAACGGCCTTAAAATCCACAGAGACAATTGCAGATAGTCCTTGACTTATGACTTGTCTACTTAGCAGGTGTTTTGAGCTGACAACAGACAGAATAACAGATTTGGAAAAGACCCTGGAGGTCATCTAGTCCAACCCCACTGCTCTAGTCCAACCGTCACTGCAGGAGACCCCATACCATTTCAGACAGATGTCTGTCCAGTCTCTTCTTGAAAACCTCCAGTGATGGAGCACTCACAACTTCTGGAGGCAGGCCGTTCCATTGATAGATTTGCTAAATGTCTACGGAAATTCTCAGTCGTCCAAGTCATAGTTATCCCAAAAGGTGCTTTTTTTTTCAGGAGGCAACAGGACTTTCTTGTTTTTCTTTGAAGACATTTCACTTCTCATCCAAGAAGCTTCTTCAGCTCTGACTGGATAGTGGGGAATGGAAGGATTTATATTCCTTGCAGGTCGTTTGCATTCTTTTAGAACAGTGTTTCTCAACCTTGACAATTTTAAGGCATGTGGACTTCAACTCCCAGAATTCCACTGGCTGTGGAATTCTGGGAGTTGAAGTCCACATGCCTTAAAATTGTCAAGGTTGAGAAACACTGTTTTAGAGCGTCATTGAGGCCACAGGTAAACCTCCAAGTGGCCTCAAGGAGTCTCTAAAAGAATGCAAATGACCAGCTGTCTGCAAGGAATATAAATCTTTCCATTCCACCATCCGGTAGAGCTGAAGAAGCTTCTTGGATGAGAAGCGAAACGTCTTCAAAGAAAAACAAAGAAAATCCAGTTGCCTCCTGAAAAAAACACCTTTGGGACACTGATCGATTGTTCCCACTGACAGGAATTTTTTCCTTAATTCTAGGTTGCTTCTCTCCTTGATTAGTTTCCATCCATTGATTCTTTTTCGCCTTCAGGTGCTTTGGAGAATAGATTGACCCCTTGCTTTTTGGCAGATATTGGAAAGCTCCTATCATGTCCCCCCTTGTCCTTTTCATTAGATTAGACCAAACTGGCCCTTTTATGACTTGTGGCCTTCAACTCCCAGAATTCCTCAGCCAGGCATGCTGGCTGAGGAATTCTGGGAGTTGAAATCCACAAGTCATAAAAGGGCCAAGTTTGAGACCCCTGGATTAGACATACCCAATTCCTGCAAATATTCTTCATATGTTTTAGCCTCCAGTCCCCTGATCATCTTTGTTGCTCTTCTTTGCACTCTTTCTGGAGTCTCAACATACCCAGGACCTCTCTAGGATTACTTATGACCCAGCTCTGAATTTCTAAGACAGCGGTTCTCAACCTGTGGGTTGGGACCCCATTTGGGGTCAAACGACCATTTCACGGGGGTCACCAAACAACGCAGTCCGCCATTTTTTCCCCCTTTTCCTTAGCTGTGCTACTCCCTTTTATTCTATTGGCTTTTGAAAGCCAATAGAATAGACTCTCTTGAATAGAGTCTAATTCTATTGGCTTTCAAAAGCCAATAGGAATTGTCCAGGCTGTCTCTGCCTGCTGAGCCCGCCAAAAGTCCCATTCTGCAAACGGTGCTGCACCAGTTGAGTAGTCCTCGACTTACGATCGGTTGGGGGTCGCGGCATTAAAAAGGTTGAGAACCACTGTTCTAAGATCAGCCCCCTCCCATTCATATGATCGTATTTCAGCAACTGGAGTGCATTTACAGCCATTTGCAGCATCATATAGTCATGGGACCACATTTTATAACATTTCTGCCAAAACCTGGCATTTACTTCCAGTCTTCAGCAAAACCAGCCCATACCAAACCATTGTTTCATTTAACGACTGCAGTATCTGCTCAACAACTGCCACAAAAATGGTCATAAAATCAAGTCAGTTAGTTGGATGGCCCCCTTGATGACTTACGACTGTAATGGAACCTGTCCTCATAAATTGAGGCCTACCTTAATGCCTTGCTTTCTCCAGGCAGGATATTTCAGAGGTAGCAATTGCGTAAAAGTTCCTTCCATCGTTTCTCTTTCATTTACAGGCCCTCAAAATGCTTCAAGCCTTCACAGACCTGTGGACTTCAGATCCCAGAATTCCACATCCAGCATGACATTGTTGAGAATTCTGGGAATTGAAGTCCACCGTGCACGGAAGTGGGCAAATACTTTTCTAAGCAAGAAAAATAATGCACAAAAGGAGAATAAATAACCAAAATCAAACAATTAAAAAGCACAGTGCCGGAAAAAAAAGGAACAGCAGACTCAAATATTTTCCCTCATTCCCTAAAAATTCAGCAAAGGAGCAGCATATCTCT